AACTTGGTATACGGACATATAATAACCAAATGGGGGTATTTCCAAAATTCTAGTTCGAAATTCCAAGAATTAAGGGAGTTATGATCTGCGTGGTAGAGGGGGGAGGAAATTCCAAAATATACATTTTCTGCGTATTCACATAAGGCATCTGGGACTAAAATTTTGTGTTCCTAGGTCTTATAGTCTCCGAGATATAGGCGATTATACGAATGGAAAATCGGGAAAACCCCCATAGGGGGGAAGTGGGGGGGAAAATCAAAAAAATAAAACAAACTCGTATAGAATACACACATAACGCATCTTTGTGGAAAATTTGGTGTCTCTATCTCTTATGGTCTCTGAGATCCAGGTGTTCATACGGACGGACAGACTGACAGACGGATCAAGAATATATATACTTTGTGGGGTCTACCACGCCTCCTTCTGCCTGTTACATTTTTCAGCTCCCGTAAACCTAATATACTTCTGAACATTTCATGTACAGAGTATAAAAATAATTAAAACAAGTAGAGAAGCTAAAGTCGGGTATCCCGATTTTGAAATACTCTGTACATATGTGTAAAATATTTATGCGTGTATGTGTGTATTTGTGTGTGTCTGTGTATGTCTCGTGTGCCTGACCAAAGCAGTAACAACAACAATAGCTGCGGGCACTACTTGGTCTTATGTACATATATTGCTATAACTTCCTGTTAAATCGGCCTATCATAATGCATTTATACTTATAATAACTATATGGAGGTATTTGCCAAGTTTGAGCTCGAATTCGAAATTCCAAGAATTACGAGAGTTATGAGGGGAGTGGGGAGAGGGAGGGGGGAGGGAAATTCCAAAATACACATTTTCTGCGTATTCACATAAGGCACCTGGGACTACAATTGGTGTCCGTAGGTCTTTTAGTCTCCGAGATATAGGCGATAATACAAATAAAAAATCGGGAAAACGCCCATAGGGGGGAAGTGGGGGGGGAAAATCAAAAAAATAAAACAAACTCGTATAGAATACACACATAACGCATCTTTGTGCAAAATTTGGTGTCTCTATCTCTTATGGTCTCTGAGATCCAGGTGTTCATACGGACGGACAGACGGACAGACTGACAGACGGATCAAGAATATATATACTTTGTGGGGTCTACCACACCTCCTTCTGCCTGTTACATTTTTCAGCTCCCGTAAACCTAATATACTTCTGTACATTTCATGTACAGAGTATAAAAATAATTAAAACAAGTAGAGAAGCTAAAGTCGGGTATCCCGATTTTGAAATACTCTGTACATATGTGTAAAATATTTATGCGTGTATGTGTGTATTTGTGTGTGTCTGTGTATGTCTCGTGTGCCTGACCAAAGCAGTAACAACAACAATAGCTGCGGGCACTACTTGGTCTTATGTACATATATTGCTATAACTTCCTGTTAAATCGGCCTATCATAATGCATTTATACTTATAATAACTATATGGAGGTATTTGCCAAGTTTGAGCACGAAATTCCAAGAATTACGAGAGTTATGAGGGGAGTGGGGAGAGGGAGGGGGGAGGGAAATTCCAAAATACACATTTTCTGCGTATTCACATAAGGCACCTGGGACTACAATTGGTGTCCGTAGGTCTTTTAGTCTCCGAGATATAGGCGATAATACAAATGGAAAATCGGGAAAACGCCCATAGGGGGGAAGTGGGGGGGAAAATCAAAAAAATAAAACAAACTTGCACAGCGTACACAAATAAGGCATCTTTGTGCAAAATTTGGTGTCTCTAGCTCCTATAGTCTCTGAGATCCAGGTGTTCATAAGGACAGGCGGACAAACTGACAGACAGACGGACAGACAGACGGACAGACAGACAGACAGGGCTAGATCGACTCGTCTCGTCATGCTGATCAAGAATATATATACTTTGTGGGGTCTACCACGCGTCCTTCTGCCTGTTACATTTTCAGCTCCCGCAAATCTAATATACTCTTGTACATTTTATGTACAGAGTATAAAGAAAATTTAAAAAAAATCAAAAACAAACATAGGCATTGTGTATATGTCAGTGTATGCGTGTCTTTGCCTATGCTTAACTGTGTATGTATGTAAGCAGCGCAGAGTGAAGGCAAAGCAGCAACAACAGCAGCTACGGGCAGTGCTTGAGCAAAGATTAACCAATCAAACTCGTATAGCGTACACACATAAGGCACATTTGTGCAAAATTTGCATTAGCTACTATCCACGTCCAAATCCAACGAGTCCCACGAAGAACGAAGTCGAGCGGCGAAGCCAAGAAAACCAAGAGTCCCCCCGGGGGCGCCAAAATGAATAGCTGAAGCTGGAAACTTGCCGGTATAGCAAAAGCGAGGGTCCAGAGTTTGTTCACTTCCAAGTGAAGTGAGTCTATATCTCAAAATGGAAGACTGTTTTTGGCTCGCACTGGGATTTATTAAATTTACAAAGAAAAGCGAGTTTATTACATCGCTTATGCTCGCTCTCATGCGCGTGTGGAACGCATTGAGAGATAGCGCGAGAGAGCAACATACATATGTAAATAAAGCTTACAGCTGTACAGACAGCGCCAAACAATTACGTATATGTGCAAACAATTCATTTTTGTTTACTTAAATCTAAACTTTAAAACATTCTTAATATCTAATTGAATTTAATTCTCTTAGACTACCAAGTGACCAAACAGTGTGTTTATGTTGTTGTTTACGTGTACACTGCAGCTGGAGCGCACAAACAAATAGCGTAGCAAACGCTAAAGTTACCAAACAGCGAACTGTCCAGCTGATTTCTACCAACGCTACACGATAGCAGCGAGCCAGTAGTGCACCAACGATATGGGCACCGAAGCAAAGAGAGCGGGAGAGAATCAGCGGTATGCGGACGAGCCAACGCTGCTGCAGTGTGACAGCAGCACAACAACAATATCGGAACGATCAAATTAGCAGAACGGCAAGGCAAACCAAAACTGCCAAAATTAGTGCACGCAAACGCAGTGTCGCCTGTTGCTTATTTACAACTGTAATTTTCCTACGTTTGGTTATGTGCTTATGTATCTTATATGAACTAGTATGTACATATGTATGTATAAGAAAGAAAGAAATGCAATTGTCTACGCGACAATGTATGTATGTTTGTGTTTATTTATTTTATAAAGCTTCAATAGCTGTCCGTTAGTAATTATACAAGGTGCGTTCCAAAGTAAATAGGGCTTTTTGAATCTAGCGCCCTCTGGTGGCGCTATCTATATGTCGACTGGTGCGTTAGAATCTGCTATCTTTATCGATCGTCCAGTGAGAATTTCATGACATTTCATCGATTGGAAGTGAAGTTATTGCGTTTTAAGTGTCAGTATGTTTGTGTTATCGGTGTGCAAATGAGCTTCGAACAAAGAGCCAAAATAAATTTTGTTTTAAAATTGGTAAAACTTTTACCGAAACATTTCAATTGATGGAACAAGTTTATGGCGATGATTGCCTATCCCGTAGCAGAGTGCACGTGTGGTTTCAACGTTTTCAAAGTGGTCGTCAGGACATAAATGACATTCAATCAAAATTCGTGATCACCGAAAATTCATTCGAAACTGTGCGTGAATCATCAAAAATTAGCCGAAATCATCATTGAAATTAATGGAAATGCAATTGAACATCTCCAAAACATCGATTTATCGCATTTTGACCGAACATTTAGGCTTACGAAAGGTGTATGCACGGTTTGTTGCTCTCATCGATCGACGCTTGTGACCGATTATTTGACCAAAAATCACATTTTAACCATTAACCACTCGCCGTTTTCACCTGATATGGCACCGTGCGACTTCTACCTTTTCGGAAAAATGCATATGCCCATGAAAGGAAAGCGTGAAGCTAAACTATTTTGAATAAAATAAATTGAATTTGCCAAAAAAAAACCATTTGTTCTGTTTTTTTTTTTTAAAGTCCTGTTTACTTTGGAACCTCGTATATTTCTTCGCTTGAGATGCCGAATGCCAAATAAATCACGGTCCACCTATTTGCTAAATTGACAAATGAGTATGAGCATATAAATTTGTTGGTGAACTGCACAAATTTATATGTGTACATATATTTATGCACTTGTATGTATGTACATATATGTCTCATGGCGTTTAAATATACACGCAAGTCGACAAATGTGGCCGCAATTTATTTTTCGCACTCGTTACCTGATGGAAACTTCCCTGAAAATTATGGCAATTGATCGGTTGGAAATGTAAGCCAAACCTCCAATTGTCCAGGAGGAATCCGCTAACAATCTCGCGCAGATCGAAGACCTAAGTTGTTAAAACGATGTAGCTAGTCGCAAAGTCCAACGTAGGAGTAGACACCAATGTCCACCCGGGGGCGCCAAAATGTACGGCTTAAGCCGGTATGACAAATCCAACCGGTTCACAAACAAAACTTTATGTAGAAAAGAAAGACTTGTGTCTTTCAACGCGATTTATTGGCTCAAAAGAATAACACGTTCGCACAGTTCGACTTCAAGATTACAAGTGTTCTTTTAATTGCAACGAAGCTATATAGAAAGGCCGCCACAAACATAAGAGCGGCAATTGCAATTATGCTGCTCGCAGGCAGGTGCAGTGTACGACACTTTTTCTCTTAAGACTATACGTTGATTTCAATTATAATTTTCTTAAATACTTATGACTATTTCAAACTAAGTGAAATGCTTTTACAAATATCGCGAAAGAGCCTCAAAGTAACTGACTAAGTCTATCGACCGTCGTGGACCAGGCAGCCTATACAAGTAACAGATTCAGAAAGTGAAGCGAACCCGAAGCAATATAAACGATGAAACACCATTTATGCCATTGTCCAGCACTTTTGCGTAAATGCGAATACGCTGGCCTCGCTGCAAGAGGCAGCAGAATACAAAATAATAAAACGCTCAATAAAATAACCTCCAACAACCGGCAACACTAAGGACAAATTTTATCTATGTATCTATGTATGTACGTATAAAATATAAATTAAAGAAGAAACCTAAGTTCTTACATTGTTTTGGCATTTTTCAAGAATTTCTTTGCGAATTACTATATAGTCAGGATGTGATTTTAAAACTTGCTGGCAAACATTAATAGCACTTGCAAAGTTTTTCATTTTCATATAGTTGTATGCCAGTTTATAACCAATTTGCGGCTTAGAGCGTCCACCAAAATTCCAAGCTTGATAATAGTGCTTTGCAGCCGTAGCGTAGGATTGAGCCTTCTCTGCAATAAGGCCAGCGAGTTCAAAAGCCTTAGTTGACGATTTGTTATGATCTAACACTCGACCCACCAAAGATTCTGCTACGTCCAACTTATTTGCATGAATGTATATATCTGCTAGCAATAACCAACTACGTTCTAAATACTCTGCATCATCAAAGTTCCAGGACATACGTGCTATTCGTTTGAGATGGTTTTTTGCTTTTTGGATCTGTTTAAGTTGAATCAAGGTGGATGCTAAGGCATATACTGGTGCCACTGTTAACTGGTACTCTTCTCTTTGCGTGAGCTCCATAAGATCCTGAAGAGCAGACTCAACTTGCAATTTCTGTTTTGATGCCATTTGTATAAAATTTCGTAGCAACCGATGGTTGTCTATGCCAGGAGATCGAGGTCGTAGCTCCTTCAGCAAGCGCTCGGCTGTACGTAACGCAATTAGTCTTGATTCATTGAATTCTCCACTGTCACTGACATCTTGATGGAGGTCATTTCCATTTGGTATCTCTCCATCGGGATTAATACAGATCTCAATCATTAAAAGTATCGCCTTTTGTCCCCACTCTTGATCCCGACGAGCTTTGTTAAATTGACGCAACGCCCCATTTGGATTTCCACAGTACCACTCATATAATCCCCTGCAATAATTTAGACCTAAGCAGTTTAAACTATTTGCAGTAGCATATTCAGCACGTTGTAAGAAAGGCAATGCGTCAACTAAACTTCCGGAACGCCTCATCACTTCTATCAATCTTGCTAAAGCCGTCCAATAGCATGGCTGTGATATTAATAACTGCGAAAAATGATAAGCAGCATTGTCGAATTCCATCTGAAAAGAAAGGTATATTGGAAAGTTTATTACATGTATTTTTAATAATAGCTTTGTTGTGCACTACAATTGCCAGTTTCGAAATAGTTGTTTGTGTATCTTAATACTTAACAAGAAAGAATTGCTAGAGTCGAAGGGCTCAACTCTTAAATACCCTGTACCCACTCCCACAAAAACGAAAAACAAAATTTAAATTAATTTAAGAAATTAAATTAATTAAATAAATTCACTAACCTAATTTAAAAAATATTCATGTACAATTTCAACAACATAAATTTACATCAGAATCGTGTCTATGCATGTTTATATACATATTAGACAGTTGCATGAATGGCAAAAAAACCACATTCGAATGCACAATGCTCAAAATGAGTTGAGTGAATTGGAATGCAAAGGCAAACTGATATGAATGAATGAGTATACACACGTGCAACTCAGTCGCACTCAGTCCAAACGTAGAAAAACGAATTGAATGGAGTGAGAATACGAAAAACTTAGACGTAGTTCTCGAATGATTCGAATGACAAACCGGTAAAGAAGAAAGAAAAACTGTAGTCAATAAAATGGTTGATATTTTTATTTTCATTTGTATTTATTTTACTTATTACTAACATAAAACATATTTATTTATATTAGAATTTCAAAACATTATTTGGTTAATTTGTCAGGATTGCTGGCTAATAGACAACATTTTTCTGTTATTAAATTTCTAGCGTTTGAAAATGTGCATTCCGAAGCCACGTTACTGGCTGGAATGCAAAACATTTTACAGCTTGTTTTGTGCAACAGATGAATTCCCTCCTTTATATAATGAATTGTACAGGACAAATACGACGCTTTTAAAAAAAAATTCTGTCCATATCACTGGTGATTAATCCAAAGGCTTAATATTTTTCAATTTCGGACCAAAGTGAGCAGATTTTACAATAACTAGAGTAGAGTAACTCAAATAAATCGAATGTTTTCCGATATGTCAATTGTTTCATTCCGTTTTACGTTTCATTTATTCTTACTCATTAACTCATTTCAATGAATTTCGAATGCTATGAGACACAAGACGCACTCATATTCATACAAATTTATTTCATTTTCAATGTTCCACTTAACTCAATTCGTTTCCATTCTTTTCAACGTACTTTATGAGCAGTGCTGCCATTTTTTTAATTAATAAAAAAAAACTGTTTCTAACTGAAAGAAAGGGCAAAAAAGCTGAAAATTTATAGAAAAAAAACCTAAAATAAAGCGGTTATGGTTTTACCAATTTATTTGTTGTAATGTGATATTTACATTAAATCATTCAGTTCTGCGAGGTTCGCATTTGTACGACATGGTCGTACCAATCATGCGTAAATAATTATAAGGCAATTGGTAGTCAAAGCAGCATAGTTTTGTCAGGCAAATTGACAAAGTGTATTTTTGTTGTTGAATAAAACAGTTCATTGCACTTGTGTGCTACTTTGTTGTTGCATGAGCGCGCAAATCACTAAGCTTGCCTGTGATAGTGATCTTGCAATAGCTGCAGTAGACCCTATGCCCGCCCGAGTCATCTTTACGAATCAAAGCCTTGAATTCTTCGCTTTTTAGTCAAGCATCTCGGCAGTTTGGTAGTACATAATTCTGTTTTTACACGTAGATTGGTTCCAGAACCAGACCCTGTACAAAAAAGACATTGATCATATGCAAAAATGCTAAAACCTATTAAAATCAGTGGAAAAACAAGGATATATTTTTATTAAATTAAAACATATATAATGTGCATAACGACCCACATAAGAATGGTTTTTAGCTGTTCGTCAGCTGTGTGTGTTTATACTCTGTACATGAAATGTACAAGAGTATATTAGGTTTGCGGGAGCTGAAAAATGTAACAGGCAGAAGGAGGCGTGGCAGACCCCACAAAGTATATATATTCTTGATCAGCATGACGAGACGAGTCGATCTAGCCCTGTCTATCATAATGAAATTTGGCATACGGACACATAATAACCAACTGGGGGTATTTCCAAAATTTTAGTTCGAAATTCCAAGAATTACGGGAGTTACGATTTGCGGGGTAGAGGGGGGAGGGAGGGGAATTCCAAAATATACATTTTCTGCGTATTCACATAAGGCATCTGGGACTAAAATTTGGTGTTCCTAGGTCTTATAGTCTCCGAGATATAGGCGATTATACGAATGGAAAATCGGGAAAACCCCCATAGAGGGGAAGTGGGGGGGAAAATCAAAAAAATAAAACAAACTCGTATAGAATACACACATAACGCATCTTTGTGCAAAATTTGGTGTCTCTATCTCTTATAGTCTCTGAGATCCAGGTGTTCATACGGACGGACAGACGGACAGACGGACAGACAGACAGACAGGGCTAGATCGACTCGTCTCGTCATGCTGATCAAGAATATATATACTTTGTGGGGTCTGCCACGTCTCCTTCTGTCTGTTACATTTTTCAGCTCCCGCAAACCTAATATACTTCTGTACATTTCATGTACAGAGTATAAATATTGATGAACCGGCAATTTTTTATAGTTTATATCTGAATGGTGACTAAATTAAAAAAAGCGGGAGAAAAGCCAAACACATTTCTAAAAAATCCAGAATTCCCGCTTCCCGCAATTCTCAATTTTTTCCCGCAACAGGCCTTACAAAACAGTCATATTTGAGGAGATATTATTTACTATCATATATTTATAAGTTGAATTTGAATTTAAACTGAACTAACGAAATGAATTGTGTCTGGCAACGCCAGTTATCTTAATTGTTTATGCATCTCCTTCGCTGTAGGCTTTGTCATGCCTGCACTAGTTCTTTATCATTAGTCTAGTAACGACTCGCTTCTGTAATGGTCGAACCCAGTCTCGATAACGTAATAGGATTAAATGCAGTGAAGTTTATTATAACGTTTTACAAAACCCAATAAAGTGTATTTATTTGGGCACGTTGTACATGGCACATGTGGATCGTGGGGAGCTACTTGGGAGTGCAAGGCGAATAACTAATTTTACTGGATTCTGCAGCTACATTTTGGCGACCATGACAGGACCCTTCACCCCCGACAATCTCTCCACACACTGCATCGCATGATCGACAACCCGCAAGAAGTACCGCAATAGTTTAATCGCAAGTATACCTACACGTATTAATACATACGTATATACATTGAATTGCGAAATATACATACATACATACATAGTGTGACATATGTACATAGGCACACGCATGTGCTTAGCGTTACTGTACTTATCACTCGTTGCTTTAATTTCATTTGGCTGCCCTTTTAGCAGCGTGCATTCAATTTTCGCTTCACTCACGTTGAGTGAAACCTGAGTATTTTTTTTTTTGATTCTGCACAACTCATCATTCCACTCATAGTTCACAATGAACAGTGGAAAGGCTGAAGGCGAATGTGCGAAAGCTGAGGCAAAGTTGGTAAACTTAAGGAATCAACGCACATCATATCTACGGCATATTGAAAACCTTCACAATAAGGTAATCGAATCTGGAGAAGGTGAAGATCTTCATGTGCTTGAGTGCAGACTGCACACTGTTGGAGTCACATTATCGTCAGCTGTGCAACGTGCAATCTCAAATCGCGTCGCTGTATTGCACTGATGATGCACGCGCCAAACTAGAGGAAACATACATTGCTGCAAAGGCTAAAATTAGGACTCTTTTGCATGAAAAGGGTCACAGCAATAAGTCAATCATTACAGAAGCCAGCTTCATGAACGCCACTGTGGGCAATGGAGTTACACATCAAAATAAATTGCCTAAGCTCACACTGCCGAGCTTCGATGGCAAATATGCGACCTTCAGACGATTCAAAAGTTCATTCAACAATCTCATCCACGAGGATCCGCATATCGTAACGATAGATAAATTTAATTATCTGTTGAATTATCTAACAGGGCCAGCACTTGAAGTGGTGCAGTCCTTTCAAATAACTGAAGAGAATTACCCCAAAGCATGGGCAAGATTCTCATTTTTCAAGGTTGTATATCTAGCTTATTTGAGCTACCTACGATGGTACAACTTGAGGCGACAGCTCTTTAAAAGCTCGTCGATAATGCATCTGCAATACGCGGATCACTTTTGTCTGTCAGATCTGCTCAAGAAATTATGGATAGCGTCCTATGCCATATTGTTCTTACGAAGGTGGATGCCGAAAGCAAAACCAACTACAACGAAAAACAAAATCTAGAGAAACTGCCGTCGTGGGATGAATGTTGCAACATTCTAAGTCGTCGGTGCCAGTTTCTCGAAAGTCAACGAGGAAGTTTTTGCCAATCGGAACGGCGCAACATTAAACATGAAACGAAACAATTTTCTACAACAAGGGCCTTTGTAGGTACACAATGCCAATGTGTGTATTGCAAGGCAACTGCACACTACATTAGCTCATGCAAAGATTTTGCTGATTTGTCACTGGAACAGCGCAGACATGCAGTAAGGAAGGCTGGCATATGTTTCAACTGTCTGCGTAAAGGCCACAGGGTGAAAGATTGCTCATCCACGTCCAGATGTAAAATTTGTCAAGCAAGTCATCATACTATATTACACAGTTTTACAGTAGCAACTATTCAAAGCATGCAGGTTACTTCACTTCCAGATAACGCAGGTCCAGTTAACATTAAAGTTGAAAACTCAACTCTACATTCGTCGAATGCTGCTGCAAGGATTACTCCAATCATAAAAGGCATTCTTCCGACAGCCGTTGTATACATAAGCGACAAATGTGGTCAGCTACATTTGGTCCGAGCGCTTCTAGATTCTGGATCAGAAGTTTCATTTATAACAGAGGAAACTACAAAAAGGCTGCGACTTGAAAAACATCGCATTCATCAGGAGGTCAGCGGTATTTCGGCTGTTAGGCAAAAAATCAAGTTTAATGTTTATGCTAAACTGAAGGATCGCTGCACTGAGTTCAGTTGGGCTTCCACATTTTCTGTCATTAAGCAGAATTGTGTAAATCAGCCATCGCAAACATTAAAGACGTCAAA